CGGGTTTACCCGGAAACCGGACCGGCCCACCCGAAAAACAGGTCCGGGTACCGGTTCTTGTTAGAACCGGTTCGGGAACCGGTTCCATTTTTTTGGAACCGGTTAGAACCGGTCCGATTTCCGGTTTTAAGTAAAAACTGAACCGGACCGGTTTTAGAACCGGTTTTAAGATAATGTAAAAAAAAAAAAAACCTAAATGAAGATCACGTTGCCCTCCCTCTCTTCTCTCTTCGCCACTCCCCGGTATCACTTCTCTCTTCGCCGCTCGCCGCTCGCCGCTCCCCTGTATCACTTCTCTCTTCGCCGCTCCCCTGTATCACTTCTCTCTTCGCCGCTCTGTCACTTCTCTCTTCGCCGCTCCTCTGTCTCAGTTCTCTCTTCGCCGCAAGATCACGTTCGCTTCCCCCGTCCGGCTCTCACCGATCCGTGAGTCCTCCGTTCCCTTATTCTCTCTTCTTCGTCTTTGTTGCAAGGTCAGATGGTTTCGAGCTCGAGCTCCGAATCTGTTCTCGTGTTGGGGAAATGTTCGAGTTCGAGTTTGAGGTTTTGCGTTCGAGTTCGAGTTTTTCTGTTGACATGTAATTATGAGTATCTTATTTACCCAGAATCGTCAATTTCAAGTTCAAGGATTTTGAAGCCGCTGTTGCGGACTTATCCGCCCGTGTTAAGCTCGGTAAGGAGAACAAATTTGCATATACATATTTGGTTTGTCCTATTTTTGAAATATCCGTATTATTTGATTCTGGGTATGTTGAAATCTGCCAGAGTTACAGAGGTTACATTGTTGAGATATTTGACATATTGTTGCGTAGGGTTTGGCATTGTGTTCAGTTGGTGACTATCAAAGGGCTGAAGAAGCACATTTAAAAGCTATCCACTTTGATCGAAACTTCCTTGAAGCATTGTCTCATCTCGACACGGTTCCATCATGATCGACTTTGTTAATTTTCAGACATGATGATATTTTTTTGTTGCCACCGCAAACATTTTTTCTTGGCAAAGTGTGACCGTAGTTTAGTCTCAATGAGACTCGATTCCTGGCTAAAGGCTAATTTTGTGAGCGAACTAAAACATATGTTAATGGCTAATGTGAACTTATATCTTCTCTTAATTTGCACTTAGGAGTCTGTACACAGAAAGTGTTGTCTATGTTGCTTTGTTAAGCTTATTATTTAATAGAGATGAGACTTGCATATATACATTAGTTTAATTCATAACTTTGAGAAGGATGGATCCTCTTTATCTACTCAAATTGTGGGAACAAAAGAAAAGAACTCGTGCCTGTTAGCATGCAGATCGCTAACATTTTATGCTTGCTAGTTGGTGCTTGTAATTTATGAATAGGAAGGGAATAATTCGTCACATATCAGTTTAGCATCGTAGACAAGAACAGTGATATTTGATCCTAGAATCTTGTCATTGTTGTATAATTTGTTTTCAGTAGAATCCACGACATTGTTGTATAATTTGATTTTAGTTGATGGATCAAGACAAAGAAATATCAATTGAAGTGGATGGATATAATGAAATGAGTCCGCTCATGAAATTGCCATTCCAAGGAGCTGCTGAAGTGGACTCTACGACCGTGAGTGCGACAAACAAGGTGGGTGTATCTAACTCCCGTCCTCCTCTTGGTAAAAAGCAAGCTAATCAATCGGACGCCTGGGATAATTTTTCGAGAATTATAGATGAGAAAACACAAAAAACAACTAGAGTAAAGTGCATTCACTGTGGGACTGAGTATAATTATTCTGTTGATCATGGAACGTCTACTATGCGGAAGCACTTGACAAAGTGCAAAAAGTATCCACATGCAGATAAGAAGCAAATGTTGTTTGCACCACATAACAAAGATGTGGTTGGCGAGGCAGGGGAAAATACTAGTGGTGGTAGTGTCTTAACAACGTGGAAGTTTGATCAAGAACGTTCTAGGCACATGCTTGCTCGGATGATTATTATTGATGAACAACCTTTTTCCACGGTTGAGCGTGTCGGTTTTCGTGATTTTGTCACTGAATTACAGCCTCTTTTCCAACATTTATCACGATTTACGGTGGCTAGAGATTGTATGAAGTTGTATCTGAGTGAAAAAACTTGTTTGAAAGCTTACTTTGGTAAGCTTAATTCTAGGATTGCACTTACAACTGATATGTGGAGTTCCATCCAAAACTTGAACTATTTATGTCTCACTGTACATTTTATTGATGAAAACTGGAAGTTGCATAAAAGAATCATCAATTTTGTGGTGATGCATAGTCACAAGGGTAGGGAGATTGGGAAAATGGTGGAGAAGTGCATTTACGAGTGGGGAATAGAAAATAAGGTGTCCACAATAACCGTAGATAATGCTAGTTCCAATGATGTGGCCATTGATTATTTGAAGGAAAAATTTTCAAGGGAAAGGCTTTTGATCTTGAATGGTGATGTTTTACATATGAGGTGCACAGCTCATATATTAAACTTGATTGTCCGAGATGGATTGAATGAGGTGCGTGATTCTATTGCACGTATCCGAAATGTAGTTAAGTATGTGAGGAGTTCTCCAATGAGAGCCAAAACATTTCAATCTTGTATTGAGAATGGGAGAATCACATACAAGGGTTCAGTTTGTCTTGATGTTACCACTAGATGGAATTCCACTTATCTGATGTTAGACACCGCCATAAAGTTCAGGAAAGCTTTTGAAAGGATGGAAGAAGATGATTCATCTTTCTTAAGGGAGATTGACAATGATCCTCCTCGAAATGAAGATTGGGAAAATGCCATCATTCTTTCTAAATTTCTGAAACAGTTTTATAATGCCACCAAACGGATGTCGGGGAGTTCATATGTTACTTCAAATGATTACTTTGAGGGTATAGCATTTTTGTATAAATATTTGAATCAAGCGGCGAATTTTTTGGACCCTAAGCTTCAAGCTATGGGTTTAAAAATGAAGGAGAAGTTTGACAAATATTATGGGAGTTTGGATAAAATAAACATGATGGTGTTGATTGCGGTTGCGTTGGATCCCACAAAAAAGTTAAATTATGTGAAGTTCTGTTACGGACAAATTTATGATGATGAAGCAAAAATTGATGAGATGCATGATAAGGTGAAGCTGGCCTTGGAGCGTTTGTATAAATTTTATGAGCAATCCCTTGTTGGTTCTAGTAAACAAAATTTTGGTGCTTCAAGTGTGAGTACTAGTAGTAGTGGTTCCAATGTCAATACTGAGAGCAATGAAGGTGACAATGAGGATGACATCCATGCTTGGCGACAAAGCTTTCTTCACGCGAAGAAAACAGTGCTTGATGAAAACAAATCTGAGCTTGATCGGTATCTTGAAGCCGAAAGTGAAGATGTCATTAATCTTGACCTTTTGATGTAGTGGAAGAGTACTGGGTCAAAGTATAAAATCTTATCTTTGATGGCTCGGGATGTTTTGTCAATTCCTGTGACTACCGTTGCTTCAGAGTCGACTTTTAGTACATCGGGACGTGTGCTTGACGGCTTTCGAAGTTCTTTGACTCCTAGAGTGGTGGAAGGTTTGATTTGCACTCAAGATTGGTTGAGAGCCGTTCGCGTGCCAATTAATGTTGAAGAGTGCATTGAGAATGCGGAAAAGTTTGAGTCAGGTAAGTCGTTTAAATTTCTTTCTATTTTGTAATTCATTCACATATTATCTATTGAGTGAATACTTTATTTAATCTCTTTTTTTGGTTTTTAGATTTGGATTGTCTTACTGAGGACATTATCATTGGTAAATAGACTTCCTTTTGTGGAAACTCCGATTTTGTGGTGAGTAAATAGACTTCCTTTTGAAAACGTTCATTTCTTTTGATACTGTCAATATTGATGTTCTGCTTTCTGTATTTATATAGGGCATATTAGGAACATGGCTATCAAACCTGTGACTTTGATCTCTTCTTTTCTTTGCTTATTTATCCTGTGTGCCGTGTGGCACAGATGGTTCTTGTTTCTTGGGAAGTGTGGATTATTGATGATGACTTTTTCTTCTGTAGGTGGATTGCGGGCCATTTTGATAGATCAAAATAAGTTGGTAGTAGCAGTTGGGGGAGTCACAGCTCTTGCAGCAGGGATCTATACGACAAGGTGTGTAAAGAATATCTCCTTGGCCTTTTCTCATCTTGATTTTAGGGTATGGTCATTACTTCTGTTCTTGGCTGGACCATGAGGTTTCTTTCCATTGGTAACACGGCTGGATTCAGGCCACCTCCAAAAGGTCAGTGTATATATTTAGATATATGTCCTGGTGTTAGTCCCATTTTAGTCAAAAAGAAAAAGACAGCAAACCTATAACTCTCCCTCAATTGGGCAATCACCAAGATCCCAAATCCTAATCACTACCTTGTATATTCATTACTTTTCAGTTGGAGCTTTTTGACCTCTCGTAAGGCAGGGAAGGATGCTGGAGCTTTTTGGCATGGGACAATTGTTTATTAGATTCTGATGTGTGGATCTGAGCCTCGGATTTTGGAAACAGAATGAGGAGCTTTCGTCATGGCGCAAAATAAAGAGCTAAACATGTTGAATGATTCCTAGAAATGTGACTCCTAAAGATTTATGCGATTGGACTATATCTTGCCACATAGTGCTTTTGGATTGTAATTTTCATGGATTGTAATTTCAATTGCCCATTTTAGGGATTGTTACTTTTGGCAGATAGTGATTTTATTATTCATCTTTTATTTTGAATCGTTTCATTACTACATAAATTATTTTGCTAGAAAAAAATGGGGAAACCGAAAAAGGAAAAAAAAAAAAAAGCAACAGGTTAACTTAGGTAGACTTCGAAACCCAGGACCCAGGAAAAAAACGGGGTCGGTTCCAAAACAGGGTCCAAGGAAAACGGGATCGGTTTCAGGTTCCAAAAATTAGGAACCGGTTATAACAGGGTTGGTTTCAGGTTCCAGATCTGGACCCAACCCACCCTGGAACCGATCACCCCTAGTTTCCACCATAGCTTCGCTTTCTGCTTTTTCTATGCCCAGATTTTCTTGTTTTCTTTTGGCTGTGAATTCCGGTCCCTGAATTCTGTTCCCACTCGCGACTCCCACGCTCTCCACCCACACGCGCTGGTCTCCAAATTAGGCGGGAAGACGGAAGAGCTCGAACCCTAGAATTCTATTTCATCCTCAATTTCAACTGCAATTTGATCTCTCTCTCTCCGAAAATGGGCATCAAGGCAGTTCCACCTCCCTCTTCTTCAATCCGATCATTTCCATATGATTGTTAATTGAATCGTCCGTTGATTTCGATAGGGACTGACGAAGCTACTGGCGGACAATGCCCCGAAGGCGATGAGGGAGCAAAAGCTGGAGAGCTACTCCGGCCGGAGGATCGCCGTCGATGCCAGCATGAGCATCTATCAGTTCCTCGTTAAGTGCTTTTCTTTTTATGGATTGATGCCTGTGATTGATTGCGCGTTTCGGTGTCAGTTGGGATTTGGATTTTGACTGTTGGTGGTTTTTTTTGGGTCTTTGATTGGTGGATCAGGTTGTGGTTGGGAGGAAGGGGACTCAGATGCTCACCAATGAGGCTGGTCAAGTCATCAGGTACTGCTACTGGCATCGCAATACTTCGTGGAAATGAAAATCCACTTTGCTCAAGTTTCTGTTTTGATGCTTCAGATGTTATTGCTTGGACTCGGTTTTATGTATGTGATCTTTATGCTTGGGAAGTGTTGACTTTGAGCTGCTTGTTGATTTGTCTTCTCGTGTAGTCATCTGCAAGGCATGCTTTACCGGACGATTAGGCTGTTGGAAGCGGGGATACAGCCAGTGTAAGTCTTTTTCTTTACCTCCTCTGTTTTCATTGGGATAGAGTGCTAAGAAGAATGAAGCTCATCTTTCTCTGAATTATGCTTTGCTGTTGTTACGACAGCTACGTATTTGATGGTCAACCTCCTGATTTGAAGAAGCAAGAGCTTGCAAAACGGTACTTCATTATTATGTAGCCTTCTATTCTCTCGTTTTTTTAAAGTATCTATGAATACGTTTAGTTACCTTTAATGAGTCTCTTAGCAGTTTTTTGAAGAGGGCAGATGCCTCTGAGGAGTTGGCATTAGCCATTGCGGTATACGTGCATCTCTCTCTCTCTCTCTCTCTCTCTCTCTCTCTCTCTCTCTCTCTCTCTCTCTCTCTCTCTCTCTCACGCATAGAGTACAAAAAGGCTTAGTGAACTCTGTATTTATTGCCTGCAGTCTCAGAACAAGCAAGACATAGAGAAATTCAGTAAAAGAACTGTGAAGGTTTGTCTTTGTTTGGATCACTTCCTTACAGTGCGATCTTTTTGTCCTGTTCGATGTGAAGTTTGATTTTTTCTTTGTTTTCCAGAAAAACCTATGTACGTAGCTAACTGGGTGTGTGTGGACTTGTGGTACATGGCTTTGATACCCTTGCAGGTGACACAACAGCACAATGAAGATTGCAAAAGACTACTAAGACTTATGGGTGTCCCACTAGTTGAGGTTACTATTCTGTCTTAAAAGTTTGTTCTTTTTTTTATTTCTAACAAAAAGGTTAGATATCAAATTCAGTTTTAGTATGTTAGGCTCCTTCAGAAGCAGAGGCACAATGTGCTGCACTTTGCAAAGCTGGAAAGGCAAGTATCTTCCTGTTTGATCGTCTTCTGATTTAGGATACTTCATTGTTTCCCATGATAACCAATCGTTTAACTCTATGTAAATTGCCATCTTGTTTCCATGATTTAATTTCGTTGTTCACTGAACTTATGCTTGTTCATTTGTCTAATGTCTTCTTCGGCATAGTCACTTGTTTCCTCGAAAGAAGTTTTTACGGGATCCGCTGAACTTATGCTTTTTCACTTGTCTAATGTCTTCTTCTGCGTAGTCATTTACATTTGGTACGTTCTTTACTAAATCATCTTTGTCCAAGGAATTTTCGCTGACTTTGAATTCCTATCATTGCTTAATTGTTGTGCGGTAACCAGAATTCATCTATCATGAATGGTGTTTTAGATGTAATTTTTGTTTTTCAGGTTTATGCAGTTGCTTCTGAAGATATGGATTCCCTTACTTTTGGAGCTCCTAGATTTCTTCGCCATTTTATGGATCCCAGCTCAAGAAAAGTTCCAGTCATGGAATTTGAAATTTCCAGGGTACTGAGAAAAGTTTATTCATTGCGATTGCTTAAATTTTTTTTTTCACTTTCATGACTTTTAGATCTTGGAGGAGATGAATCTGGATATGGATCAATTCATTGACCTTTGCATTCTCTCTGGATGTGACTATTGTGAAAGCATTCGAGGTAGACGTGATATTATTGCAGTGCTCTGTTAACTGTTTTATGCTATCGTATATCATTCTGCCCTCTCATATGTTTTAGATTGATGATTTCAGTGGCTTTACTTTGGAATGAATTTATCAGGTATTGGAGGGCTGACTGCTCTTAAGCTCATCCGTCAACATGGTTCCATAGAAAACATACTAGAGAACATAAACAAGCAAAGGTGCTTCTTATTCTCTTATCTTGTCCCCCGACTTGCAAGCAAAATAAGGCAGCATAGTTTCTCACTGTAATTGTCTTGGCTGCTGATTCCTTCACTTAAAAGAATTATCTCTCAAACTCAGCTGGAGCGGAAATATTTGATCAACACTTTGAAACTGAAAGATCATTTGCCACCAATAGATTTGGGCTGGCAATCAGTGCATCAACCATGCTACTTCATGTGTTGATTTACTATAATACTTTTATCTATTATGATTTCTGCTTTGTCTATTCTTTCACTCTCACTTGAACAAAATTCGTTTCTCTATCCTTAAGACCCGGAGGTTCTTTGCATTACTTGGAAGTCTTTATTCAGTTCAGTTATCCTTCTTAAGGAAATGTTTGCTTGTTTTTTGAATAGGTATCAGATACCCGATAATTGGCCCTATGGCGAAGCTCGACTGCTTTTTAAGGAACCAATAGTTTCTACGGAAGAACAACCTGAGATAAAATGGACTGCTCCAAATGACGAAGTGGGCCATTTTCATGTTGGGATTTACTTGCAACATTTCACTTTTGAATTCTTGACTCATTTCCTAATTGATTGTTCTTTCCCTTTCAAGGGCTTAATGTCCTTTCTAGTGAATGAGAATGGGTTCAACATTGACAGAGTGACAAAGGTATGGCTTCTATCTTCAGTAATGTGTTGGTCAGTTGCCTACTCGAGGAAGTTGCTTCTTTTCCTCTGGAGGAGAGAGCATACATGTTTCAATGTTGTTTTACCATGTGCAGCAGACGATAGAGAATATTAAGGCAGCTAAGGATGAGTCATCACAAGGCCGGTAACTAAAGCGTGAATAAATGAAAGTGACTTCCAAAATGCACTTTCTTTCATCCGATGATTCCTCATTTATTTTCTACAGATTAGAATCCTTCTTTAAGCCAGCTAAGAATCTATCTATACCTGCTAAGAGGAAGGTATGTCATCTTGATATATTTGAGTACTGAGCACCTAGAATTTACCTTCTTTTAATGTATGTGAAGGTGTAATGTCACACATTGCTCTAGCAAAGAGATGTCTTCAGATGCAACTTTTGATGGATGAATAGTACTCCCTTTAACTCACTTCATAAGCCATTGATTGCCCTAGCGATGCACAAATTTTTAGATCTTTGTGATCATTTTTAAACTGTTGGTGGTAGTGTTGTAAATCAACGGTAGTGTGTTGCCATGCCCCTGCTGCTTATGCCCGATTAGTCTCATATAACTTTACAGATGTGCTAATGGTGTTGCATCATCCTATTCATGAAATCAATTAGATAAACAAAAGCACCAGCCTGCTTATACGGATCTGTTAAGAATTTCGGCCTGATTAACAACCATAATTGCAATGGATGACAGGAAAGCAAATGCACACTTAAATCCCCCAATCTGGCGTTCAAGCCTAAGACATGCTCTACACAAGTCTCTGTAAATCTCCAGCACAGGTTCCTTGACAACTTTAAAATGCCAACCATGGTCCTGGGTTTGAGGAACTTCAAACAGCCGTTGAGAGTTGTCTGCCTCCCGACATGGAGCTAAATGATGGTGGATGTAGGAACCCTATTTATTGAGCAAGTCCTGACTTGTAGATGCTGTTTTTGCCCATTGTTGGAAGCAAGTTGATGCTTTCCTTTCCTAAAAAACGGGTCATGTCTTATGGTATTGCAATTTTGGAAGAGATTTGTATAAATTTTTATTAGATGGATGAAGTTTTCTCTCTATGTTAGAATGAGATTGGTACTTCTTGTCGGGCAAATTGCATTTTAGTGTTCATTTTACGATACGTATATGTCACTTATACAATGTGTATATTATTGTCATCCATGCAACAGGAAACCCCTGAATATATTGCCAAAGCAGCAACTAACAAGAGTTCCAGGCTGGTGGTGGTAAGAAATAGTTTAGTTGGCACATAACAGATCATGGAACAGCAAAACCATCGACATCTATGTCAGGTACTTGTGAGTTTCCCAATGGCGATTCTTTACAATTCTTGATTTCGATTTCTCTCTTAAATCTCCCCGCTTGGAATTGTGATATATGCGTCGTTATGTTTCTTGCCTTATCCAGGAGGTTTGCATGCAAATTACGAGTGGAAACTTGATGTCAGTTTGTAGTCTCATGCAGTCTTTGCTGGATACCATCATATCATGGAAGGTTTATGGGTGCTGAATGCTGATTTAACTTTCATTCATGACTACTTGTTTATCTTGTTGGACTACTATCGTGTGTTTCATGTGTAAGTTTCTCAGTGCGCATACATTTGATGGGTTGACTGATAACTCGGAAGATGGAGATACGAAACTACACCAGCTTGATATCGAATAGTTAGTAGATGACTTCGATTTGTTGCCACTTATGTTACTAACAAATCATATCAAAACTCCAATTACAAATTTAACTTGTTTATTGTCTCTTACATCGAGTCATATCCAAATTAACAAATTACATAACATAATTTAGGAGGATTATTTCGAAGCACCATAAGAACATTATCATGTTAGGAACTGAAAATTGGATGCTAGAAAGAGCCAGCAATCATAAAATAAATTTGCATGGAGAAGCAGAGGAGTTACCAAGAAACTGGAATTAGCTAATGCATGCAAAATTTAAATGGACATTTAGTATACTATAGCTTATAATGTATATAAGTAAATTGTAATATGATCTTTAATCAGATCATATATTTTATTTATTTGTGTAGTATAAATCCTATCATCTGTTGGGTCATTTACCTATGTGTATAGTACATTAAGGTAAATGAAAATTCAACCATTGATTTGGTCCACCTATATTTGTTGATAGAGTATATGCCACAGTGAAAATGGTTAACTCACACGGTAGGTGTAAGAGCCCAGTTACATTGTGCATATTTTGCAAATGATCAAGTCCTAACTGCTTTATCTTTAGGTCACATGTAAATCAAAATCTATATGGAGTTCATTTGCCGTCTCAGTTTCTGCCTGAATTGATCTCTCATCACATTGTATGTCATAATCTTACATTTTTAAGCAGAAGCTAAAGGTAACTGCCAAGAGGAGTATTGGCCGATCCTCAAACAGCCTAACCAATCTTTGCCTCAACATTCTTCGATACAAACCCTGAACCCATGGGGTCCAACTACTAGAAGCCATTCTTGTTGCCATTTTCTTTGCTAAAGCTGCATCATCCACCAAGTAAGGTACTATATATTTTTGCATGTCAGCGAGAGAGATCTGGAGATGGTTCCTAGAGACATTGATGAATTGACTTTCCCAGCTTCATCCAAGGTCTTCAATCCAATCCAATCCTTAGTGTAAAGCTCGGTCTGCAGGAAATGCATCGATTAGATACAGTTCTATTTTATTTTTCAATCCAATCCAGTCCTAATGGTAAAAGGATGCAAATTATAGCAGAGTAAGGGTAAAAGCATGTTTTGACGAGCTTACACCATAGCGACAACACAATATCACAATATGTTCGTTCGCCCATTCTCTTTTGTCCATTTTCTCATGTAAATGCAATTTTCCTTCGATTATCGACTTGTCAATAGTTAATGCTCAATGATGAAATGAAAATCATAAATCACTACCAAAAGTAATTCCAGACCATGTCATGGATATACACCTCCTACACCCTAAGATTGTAGAGTAAGAGCTCGGTGAAGATAATGCTTTCACAATCCTCAGTATTACTTTCAACATGGTTAATCATTCATATCTAGGGCTTAGAAAATGTTTCAGCTTGTTCTGTGTTACATTTCTTGGTTGACTGCGCAAAGTGGAATAAAACAAGTTGATTCCAAGTCAATATCAATGTTACCAGAGATTTTATATATTCTACACCCTTGATTTTTCACATATTTATGTGCGTGCAAGTCCTCAAGCAAATTCTTAATTATGGAATCCGTTTGACGACAGGAAATAATCTCAAAAGAATGGAATCTTTCAAAATGCATGCTTTCTGAACCACAAGGAGATTCCACCCTCATCCACCATAAATACTTTACCGCTACTTTTCAGCTACCATTAGTATCACCCAAAATTACCATGATTCAATGGCACCGATAAAGACACTGATAACTGCATTTCAAGTTAATGCAGTACTTACCTCCTGGGTAGGCAAAACAGTATCAAAAGTTTCATCTAGATAGTATACGAACTAGGATGTTTCCTTTGGTATCAACACAGTGTCTTGCTCAAACTAGAGGGAAATAAAAAGAGTTAGCATCACAAAGCTGCAAAGGACATGGATCCAAAATCAACAACATATACAAAACTAACCATAATAAGGACTAGGTTCTGCAAGTTAGCAAATCTTTCCTTGTAGGTTGAGTTTCTGTAATCCACGAGATCAATGTTTACTTTTGGGAGAAACCTGCAGCCTTTTAGACAGTTAGCAAGGTCCTGCAGAAACGAAAGGCAATTCACGCATTGCTTAATTGAAATAACATTTACTTTGTGACACAATAGCGAGTGAAATGAGATTTTGCATTGAGAAATAACATCAAACATATGAAACTAAAAACAGGGAATCTATGAAAATATGCATTGCTCCTATGTTATACAAAGAGTATTGTCGGCCACGCCTATTTTGGAATGGTTATAAAATTTTTTGACAGGATAATATAGTAAGATGTACAAAATTAGGACCATCGAGAAGATACAAACAAAAAGTCATCCTGTTTAAATATTTTCTCTATTAACACAGAATCATAGTCATGGTTGTATCTTCACATAACCAGCGGGTGCCAAGTGCTCCTGTGATTGTATGAAGGTTTCCGAACAAAACAAGAAGATGCAGTTAATGAAGTATAAAAGAAGAGAGAAAATTAGGTTGGCGCAATATTTCAACAGTGGACATGTAAAGAAGCTACTTGTTGAAGGTGCAGAAAAAGTAGCCTGGATAAGACTTTGAGCAACACTATCTTCGGGTATCGTTATAGTAAAAGGGTAATGTGAATCTGGAAATGACTAGTAAGACCAAGCCAAACTTGGACATAGTCAGATTAGACCCCTATTAGCTCAATCAAATAGTTCACAAGAACTCAGAAGATACCGGACTGTAAAAGAAGGAAAAAAAAAAAATCAAACTGCAGTGATATAAGCAAACTTCAGCCCCCATGAGACCTCAACCAAGAGAACACTAGAGAATGGTGTATCCTAATGCCAAATCAATCTAAAACCACACCAGAAACGCCGGTCATGTACAAAAATATTTGCAAATAAATATAGGAAAGACTTGAAAAAATAATTTTTTTTTGCCCTTGTCATGTACAATTCTACCGGAGAGAACTGCTCTCAAATAGCCAAACAGATTCTCAAAGGCTTCTGTTCATGAGTCACTATAACCAATTTCGGCGGGCCTCATCAAGTAAATGTTCAAATGAAGTCAATCCTCAGCAGCTCTTTATTAACAGAAAAGAAGAAACATGAGAAACAATCCAAATGAGTCTTATTTTGAAAGCATAACATTATCTATGTAAACATAACCATAGCCTTTCCTTTGCCTATAGTAATATTACATATTCAAATGATCGCTAAAGTTCCACAATCTCTGCAAAACGTGTCTCGTCAAAGTAAATTTGAATTCTGAGGAGAACGTGCGTGCAATGCCTTTCTCACTTGGCACTTTTGATAACTCCTACTCCCCTGGAACAAAAAAAGAAATATTGTTAGCACCTGGCATTATCACATGCAAAGTCACGAAAACAACAAAAGAATCTTCAATTGACACCTCTATGGTAACCAATCAGGGATAAGTTGATCTCGTGTGATGACGATAATGATGATCGTAGATAAAATAGTCATCTAATTAATTCCCCTCAAAAAGAACAAAACTCGGAGAAGTTATTTGATAAGGATGCATCTTATACATGATCCTTCTGCACCAAGTAATCTCAAAGGCAGACATGGACTGTATACACTCCTATGGGTACATCTTCGAGTTTCAAGCCCTCAACAAGAATAATTTCTTGCAGCTTTACCGTAGTGTCAATTTCTTGAACCTAGACTTCATATGAGAATGCAACGATGTGAAATCCGGGCAAAATCACCAACACTAGTTTAGGTCTAAGATGGCAATTCAGCAATGAAACATGGTCATCCTTAACTTTGATGGGGAAGTTTGTCATACGTCAAATCAATTTCTTACCTAGCTTTTGAGGAAGATAAGATGGGATGGGATCAAATGATCATATGAGGTAACAAACAGGTAATCAATACATGCATCGAATAGCACAGACTATGTCATGCAAGATTGCATCTCAATCTCAGACATGTAATAATCTACAAGTTGCAGAAGAAGAAAGAAAATAGATGATCAAGTTGCACTATTTCTCAAGAGGGAGGTTTAGTGAAAATTGAACCTGTGTAGTGCTCAAAAAGCCTGATAGCAACATATGCTTGATCGTTTTCTTACACAACCATGTCTTTAGAGATCAACCGAATGTCATGTGTTCATGTTGACAGCTATTACAGCACCATACTATGACTCATGTGTCGGCAAGGAGAAAATCAAATAAGATGAAAGTATGCATTTGTTGCCATGCCTAAGAAAAATAACATTTGCTTGTAGTGAAGCTGCAAGTAAAAATTGGTGGTAATAGAAAAGGTAGCTACCTAACAGAGAAATATATCCTAACATGGTTTCTGGGTAACGGTTAGGAAACATCATGAAGTACACTATAAATCAGTGAGTCTTGGTAAAAGGTGAAGATAAGATGAAAATGAAGCAAACCACCAAACACACACAAACAAAAAAGAAAAAAAGAAAAGAGAAAAAGAGCTTTCTCACTAAGATTGCATCAGAATAATAAAAAGGGAGGAATCCTACCAAGTTTAATTTCTACGTTCTCTACCAACCATTTTGCTCCATCTCTCACGAATTCCACATGGCTCGTGTCGAACTTTTTTTTGTACATAAGCCATCTGAGAACAAAACATAGCACAAATCTAATTTGTCCTTCTAATCATAGTACTCACTAGTACCACAGTATACTAAAATACTCAGATGAGTGCTCCAATAGCACATGCATGGGTGACATGATTTGCAACAATTTGGAAATCCCACATTAGTTCAGCTTACCATGACCCACAAAAGGATGCTTAGGAACCGAAGTTTACCTGGCAGTATGTAGGATTCTGAACAACACCCGTCCCACACCCTTGGGAATATGTAAAGACTCCATTACTTCAGCTGCAGGAAATAGTCCATGTCATTCTTACAGAATTGGTTGGACATGTCAATATGTTTCAATCTCAAAGTTGTCGGATCAAATATTAGTAAGTGCCCAACTATATTCTTGAAAATAAAAAGGAAAAATCCAAGGGCTTGTTCTCACACCAAGATAAGTATTCTACTTGGTCCATTGCAAAATTGACCATATTAGAATCTAGCTAGAAGAACTAGTGTATTGCCAGCAATGGTCACTACTGGGACAACTAAATTGTGCAAGAATTTTACTTCTGAAAGGAATAAATACTCCCAATATTCTCAAATAGTTCATATTTCACCTGAAAACAAAATATAGTATATCCATAGACAATAAAACAATAAAAGTTGGCAAATATGACATGCCAAGCCCTAACACACAAATGACTAACTAAAATGGACATGGAAAATGCAGCCACTATTATGAAGCACCCAAGTTTCCAGCAAATTGGTCAAGTGATCAAACCTACTAATGATGATAATGACGATGACAACAACAATAATTTGGCAGTCAGCATGTAATTTTGAAAGCAAAGTTAGAACCTAGCATTATTATTGCAAATGAGTGAATTAGAGAAACCACACCACTTTTCTTACACAAAGGTCATCTTATGTACTCTATCTTCTGACATTTTCTTTTTTTTGTATTTTGCTTTTGAACCTTATCCATAATTCTACATGCATAAGAAAAGAGGAATAGATTCAACGGATCGCCCATGCCCAAAGTGAGGATATTGCCGTTCCATACCGCAAGATTCAACTACCTATTCCCTTCAACGAGCATGAACACAAACTTCTCTTGAAATGTGGGGTTTTTACCACCCTCTGCACACCAAATCAAATCAAATCAAAACTAAGATGTCCATTCGCACAGTTTTCCCATTTAGCTCAACACCAGAAACTTCACCCATCAAACCACCGTAACGAAACTCCATATCCAGATTCGAACAGGGAAAGAGGCAATTGTGCAAGCATTTGGCGTGCAATTTTAGAATTACCAGTTGCAAGTTCTGGTGCGAAACTTGGTGTGTTGCCATATTCCAACCAGCACCGATGGGGCTCCTAGAGGCGATGGCGGCGGCGACACTCCGAAGAATGCAGTGGATCTATGAATCGGAGCCGCCGATCGGACTCCTAGATACGACGCTTTTTAGCTTCCAACAAAAGAATGTCCGTCCTTTAAAGATTCCAAGTGATTCGGAACTTGCACGCTTTTTAACTTCCAACAATTTCTTACTTCGAGCTTCCGTAGCTTTTTCAATTTCGATAGGTTTGACATCCTCTCCATGGAAGGGCAATCGACGACTGATAGGGAGCGAAGGGATCCCAATTCTTCAAGGCCACGAATCTCAACTAATGAATGGCAACGTGTCAGACTTACCTCGCACAGATTCTTCATGCGCGACAGATCAAGTACTTCCAACTTACAATCAACCATCTTTAATAGTCTCAATCTTTTCATTTCCGGCTGCGACGGTGAGTCCAGTTTTCTAAGCTCACAGCACTCCACACGGAGTTCCTCCGACTCCGCATCAAATATACTCGAGAGTTTTAGCGAACATCCATAGAATGCCAAGAATGTCAAGTTTTGCAAATTGGAAAAATCCGGTGATCGTGTGGTGGCCAGATCTCGAAGTCGTAACTCTCTTAAACTAGACGGGAGCTGGGGGAGGAATTGCACGTATTTGCAGGACAATGATAGTGATTTAAGCTGAGATAGGGTACCGATGCTAGTGGGAAGAGTGGTGACAAGTGTTCCCTGTTGAGATAGGGCATCCATTCTAGGGGGACCGAGGAAGGCTATCGAGGGGGGACACCGTAAATGAAAAGGGCTCCATATCAGCCAAGTCAAACTTGGGGGAAGCTCCGGCAATTGTTTCAGCCCGGGACAATTTTCTAGCTTAAGTATTTGGAGATTAGAGAGGTGATTCACCGTGGTGGGTAATCCGGATATACGTGTGTCCGACAAGTCTAGGATCCTCAAACGGAACAGTCTCCCAATTTCTTCAGGGATTTCGCCGGTCAAGCTGCAACATCCTTGAGCATCCAACTCTTCGAGCTTCTCCACCAGCCCAATCGCACTTGGCAACTTTGTTATCCCTCCTATGCTTCTCATCCTTAGTATCTTCAGTTGCTTTAGATTGCCGATTGAATCGGGTAGGTGACAAATTCTCGTCCATGACAAATCCAACTCGACTAATGATTGTAATTTCCCAACCGAATCTGGAAGTTCCTTTATGTATGTACACCTAGATAAATTCAACTGCCTAATTTTCACCAGCCCTCCAATCGAGTATGGCAATTTGTTGATTTGCCTATTTGGTACATCGAAGGTCAACAATGACTGCAAATTACCAAACGTCTCCGGAAGTTTATGTAGCGTATTAGGCATGACAATCTCTGTCAAAGCTTGTAGACAACCTATTTCTTCGGGCAACTCTCGAAGAAAGTTACATCCATCCAAGTTCAAAACAGTAAGGCGCTTTAATTTACCAATGGATGGGTCAATTTCAATTAAGTTGCCACAACCTTTAAGAACCAATCTCTCTAAATACACCCACGTAGATAAATCAGGTGTTCTCTGTAAGTATTTACAATAGCTGAGATCTAGTACTTGTAGTTTTCTGGCCTCCTGCAAAACAATTTGATAAGATATATATATTAACAAATGACATGTAGGAAAAAAAGAAGACAAAAGAAACGATATGTTTATGCAAGGAGCATGACTCGTATCATACTCTGATTTGGTCCCAGCCAATCCATTCCTCCGAAATATGGCCCCATGAAAGCTCAAGAACGACTAAATTAGTCGGATGAAAGTTTGTTGCCTCAAACTTGGAAGGGCAATATCGCCAATAAAGCCATCTTAAACTGGTGAGAAGATTATTGAAGTCTCCAACAAGGGAAACCTCATACCCTCGAAAGAACCTTAAGTTTGGTAAATTAGCAAATTCATCGTTCGTCAGAGTTTCATGAAGATAAAATTGATATAATCCACGTTTTGCAACTGACAGTGCTTCTATTTTCCTACTTCCCTGACAATGGAAACACAAAAAAGTCCACATGTGAAGGTCAAAAGCAAACAATTTTAAGCGTTACTAGCGATAATTTTTTCCTTTTGCAAGAATAGTCTAGAATTATTCGCAGGAAAATAAATTGTCATTCCCCTTTTTACCTCTTTCGATTTTACAATGCCCAACGCTTCCTCACATTTCCACACTCTGCTACGCTCGCTAAGATGTTTGAAATTCTCTTGACGGACAATTTCTCTTCCGAGGTCCCGCACTTGGTCATGCATCCAGAAAGTGCTATCTTCTTTGATTTTTATCAAGGACATGAGAACAAGGACATCAATGGCAACGTGTGGGTGGTATTTATAGTCATTCCACATATAGAAAGGGTATGTTATATCCTCATTAACAAAAAAACAAGCTATATCCAGAAATATTTCCCTTTCTGCAGGATCTAACCTTTCATAAGTTATCATCAATTTCTTTTGGACATCCTTGGGAGGAGCTTCTTGTAACTTTTCCCATGTGTTGATCCAAAGTTCTTCGGATTTACCGACAAGAAATGAACCTGTAATCTCAAGAGCTAAAGGAAGCTTTCCCAAAGTATGGACAATTTTTTCGGAAAGGGAGACACGATGATCTGGTGGAGAGTCTCTATTGAAGGCATGCCTACTGAAAAGCTTAAGAGCATGATCAAATTCCAGTTCACATGCTTCGTAAGTCGAAACATTTGGGCCTTCGGTTAGGACACTTTTGTCCCTTGTAGTTATGAGAATCCTGCTACAAGAACCGAACCAATTACCTTTTTCTGCAAGACTTTTCAGTTGCTCTTTCTCATCCACGTCATCAAGAACAATGAGTACTTTTTTATTTCTAAGTAATCCTTTCTCTATAATTTTGATCCCATCATTCACGTGATAAATTTCATCGATAGAGCGAGAACCAGCGAGCTTGGATAACAATTGTTTTTGCAAATTTACCGGACCATCATTGCCTTTTGATGATTCTCGAACGTTTGCAAGGAAACAACATCGTTCAAAGCTAGAAGATAGTGTGTTGAAGACGACCTGAGCAAGGGTTGTTTTGCCAACACCGCCCATTCCATGGATTCCGAGAAATCGTACACTATTAGATCCCACATCCAGCATTTTGATTATAGCTTCTACACGATCATCAACTCCGACAAGATGTTCAGTCACTTTTTCATGTGCAACCTTCAGCTTAATCGAAACCGTTCGAATTACGGAACGTATCAGATCTCCTTGGCTGCCATAAGGTAACAACCATGTTAGGGATAACTTTTATATTGTAAAATTACTCCCAAAGTGACTAAATTGCCCTCACATGTTAAGGAAATTACACAAAAAAAATCTAGACGCCAATACGATTCTGATATTTGCCAATCTCTCTATGCTCCCCAACTTCAGTCACCATCACTGTCGGCCCCTGCCACTTCCATGCCGCCGTTGGCATCGCTCGTCTCCTGCACCAGAATGCCTCCTGCGCCGTCACCATTGCGTTTCGGTGTCGTTGCCCTCTGCACTCCGTTGACCCCCCATCTCGGCCTTGCCTCAATTCTCCACGTCACGTGGGTCATGGCCTTGCGACCGCCGGGATGGTGTCATCGGCCTTGGGTGACACCAGATTTGGGGTCACCCATGGTTAGCTATGCCGGATATGGGCTCGGTGGCATCAAACTCTACGTCCAGATCCTGGATCCGGTTCGCCACAGTGAGTGAGACAGAGAAGTGTGGGGGCCAGATGACTCGGAAGCTTTTGGTGGCTTGGTGTTGGGTTGGCGACGAAGAAGTGGTGGCAACTGACGGACAAGCTGCTGCGGTGGCTAGCCGACAGCTTGGTGGAGCTGCTCGGAGATCTATTATTGTCCGTGGCTACCGTGTCAGAGACGGAGAGCGAGAGGAGAGAGAGAATCAGGATGAGAAGGGTGCGCTACCACCGCAATAGTGCCATTGACTGGAGCTATTGCGGCGATACTGCCGATAGCAGCCACTATTGGCCACTGCCAGTGAGAATTAGTGGCCGATAGCACTAGCGGCAATGGCCGCCAACCACTATTTAAACTCTATGGAATTGACTAGATGAATAAACTATATTTTCAATAGGAAAACATAATCTACATATGACAGTTGAAAAGTTCAAGATATTTACCCTTCATTTTTCTTCCAGTTCCATCCCTTTATCTTGCCCACTTCCATGAGAGCCTTTTCCCATGACTCTGCTTCCGTGCACGACGTCTTCTGGCGCTTTGAAAAAGTTTGTCTGTACAAATTTGTTTTGAGCTTGACATCAGCAGGTTCCACGTTCAAGAAAATCGGCAGAATCTCTTTGTTTCCATTCGATTTCGAGGTGCACTCGACCATGTATGCGAGCTCTCGGAGGCACCAGTCACTCGAAGCATAATTCTCGGAGAATATGGGAACGTAGATCTTGGAGTTCTCAATTGCTTGTAGAAGTTCACCACCAATTTCCTTACCAACATGGAGGGATTCATTGTCCCTAAAGACGATGATCCCAGCATCAATCATGCCATGGTAAAGACAATCGGTGAATTCATAACGGGTATCTGCTCCTCGAAAACTTAGAAAAACCTCGTACGAAGGTCCGGATGATGCCCGTGAATTCGTCCCTTTCTTCATTGTAAGATCTCTAAACACCACAGGTATCAAATCCTTTCTTATCTCTCACGGAAGTTTGCTTTGGGTGTGCTTGGATCTGAGCGAGGGCTGTCAATATGATAAGCTCTCTCAGTCTGCGACATGGGGTAGGGAAAAAATGCACTGGACTTCGAATATCTTGAGTCAATATAGTCAACACCTTGAGTCATCCGAGAAGTTTCCTAAAAGTTTCCATTGATCAATCAATGAGTTGTCATGCTAAAAGTTTCCAGTCCCATTCATTTAATAACAATTTTAAAATTAAAATTATCATATATGTGTCAAATTCTTACATCACTTTATGAAGTGCTGGTGTTACCAATAAAAGCAGTTAAATAATATAAGTGGCCAAAAACAATCATTCACACTATTACTTAGTTATAAAAAAAATGTGACAAACTTTGAATGCCTGACTATGCCCTACCTTTTCAAATGATACTTTATAGTATATAGATCTAAATCCCAAACAAATATGGAAAGATATATGCTATCACAAATTTAAACATAATCATATAAAAGACGCCGACAATGTTCTAAATATATGGAGATTCCACAAATCAAGAAACGTATCAACCAAGATTACACAAAATCAACTCAAATATATCTAGTATCCCATTCAAAATGAAATCAACTTGAGTTTAGAAATTAAGCTATGAAATAGCTTAGATAATCAGATTTAGCAATGGAGTAGATGTAGAGTGCCATGAACAATATGTTTTTGATTCGCAAAATGGATTAATTTGCAAAATTCTCAGTACGAACTATTTTATTAATTATGATCTAACCGTGAGCAGCTTAATATATTTTATTCCAAATTTTAAAATTGCAACTCTCTTATCTTAAATTTTAAATTAAAATTTCAAACGAATATAATGAGAGGAGGCGATGAATTATCAAATTTAAATTAATCTTGATTGGTTAATCGTATGGAAAGCACACAAGTCCCAAGTCAAAGTCTTCTACTATCTTGCTTGCTTTGTTGCATTTTCCTATTCTTTTCTTCCAACCAAAGAAGGGGATAAAGGCAAAAGCCTACAAAACGTACTCAATAGAAAGAAAGAAAGAAAGAAAGAAAGAGACTTTCGCGTGGTAAAGCAAGTCAAAAGTCTTCCACCATCTCACCTGCTTAGTTGCAAAGAAAGTGACAAGGCAAAAGCTTAGTTGAATCGGAGTCGTCCATCTTGCATTGAGAGACGAGGAGGGACCCTCATTGAAAAGTCTCCCTCAGACGCGGTTTCCAAACTTGTTCAAGAAATTCTTGCCCACTAGTCACATTCAAAGGACATGCCGAAAAGTAGACCACGGTTTGCAAGTCATCCCGGAAGTTTCCCAGAAATTTCATTGATCAATGAATGTGTTGTCGTCCTAAGAGTTTCCATGTCCCATTCATCTAATAAAATATTTTAAATCAGAGATTCATAGCCATTTGTTGTTTGGAATATACATCAGCATGGCCAAGATCCATTCTCTTCTCCCCTGCTTGCTCTGCTTATGCTGATCGTGAGTTTTTTGAGATTTACATTGGATCCATCATTTTTTATGGGTGTAGATTCAATTCAACACGTATATTAGATTTGCGAAATAATTCCTCCATGTTACGACAGTGCTATTAAAAGGAGTAACATGTAAAACTAGCAAGATTTTTGCCTTCCTCTGAGGATCGAACTTGTAATTTTCTGGCTTAACAAATAATGGACTGATATTCTTACCTGGAAATATCTGATTTTGCCGGCTTTTATTGGAAGGAAACCACACGAATCAAGGGCACCATGGTGCTCTCCAAGTGTTTATTCCAGAGCAATATTAAGATAAATGGAATATCATTGGTTCATTGGCTCTTTGATTCTTCCATCTTTCTTCCATTGACTGAGATGAGACATTAATGGCCCTAAATGGAACAAATTCATTCCCACCTATCATCTTAGTACCACCAAAACTTAAGCTTCTGAAACGGGGTTAAAAATCATGCGCAATAAACAAAAGCAAACCATCAAGCACATGAAGGGAGGAAAAGGACACTATAAGTGTCATAACTTTTGCACAACGCTCAGTTAAGTGTCACAACATTTTTTTCGATTACTTGAGTACCATAACTTTCGTACGGCGCTCACTTAAGTCTCATTTAATTTTTTAATCGATTACTTTGAGTGCCATAATTTTTAAAAAACTTTCAACATGAGTGCCATACCACATCGGATTTCCGACACTTGGGTGAACGTTCTTTAAAAGTTATGGCTCTTAAGTAATCGATTGGAAGTTATGACACTCAAATACACGTTTTTTAGAAGTCATAGTACTCAAGCGATCGAAAGAAAATGTTATAACACTCAAGTAAGGGTTGTACGAAAGTTATGGCATTTATGGTGTCCTTATCCCCACGAAAAGAATAAAAAGGGTTGTTTACTTTCACCGGCCAAAAGATTGCAAGGTCCACAACAAATGCACGAAAGAATTCAAGAAGAAAACATATATAATACCATTCATCAATTACAAGCATATAACATCCTGAAAACAATATGAGTGCCATTAATAGAAAGAGGTAAAAGATTGTCTTCAATACAAAATATTGGAACAAGGACACTATAAGTGTCAAAACTTGTGTACGACACTCACTTTAGTGTCAAAAGTTTCCGCCGGATCACTTAAGTACCAAACTTTTTGAAAAACTATCATTTAAGTGCCAACTCTGGTCAGTTTAGCTGGAAATCCGACGTGGCATTTTTTATTAATTTCTGAAGCCGATGTGGCTCGCCGGAGGTTTAGTCAGCATTTTTTATTTTAAATATATTTTTTTTCTTTTTTCCTTTTCTTTCTTTTTTTCCTTTATTTTCTTTTTTTCCTTTTCTGATCTACCGACCGGTTGCCGGTGGCCGGCCCGGCGACGCCCGAGAAGGGCTGGGCGAGGGTCTCGCCAGCTGCCGGCAAGGGGCGGCCTCGCCTGTCACCGGTCATGGCCAGCGAGGGGTGGCCTCGCCAGATTTGGCTGAGGTGACCCTTGCCGGCGACAGACGAGGCCGCCCCTTGCCGGCAGCTGGTGAGGCCGGCCTCGCCTAGATCTGGCCAGGGCCGGCCTCGCCCATGGCCGGCGAGGCCGACGCCCAGCCCTTCTAGAGCGTTGCCGGTCGCCGGGCCGGCCACCGGCAACCAGGCGGTAGATCAAAAAAGGAAAAAAAGAAAAAAAGGAAAAAAAAGAAAAAAATATTATTTAAAATAAAAAAATTCTGACTATATATGTTGACTAAACTTCCGGCGAGCTACATCGGCTTCAGAAATTAATAAAAAAAATGCCACATCGGATTTCCGGCCAAATTACCGGAGTTGGCACTTAAGTGATCCGGCGGAAACTTTTGGCACTAAAGTGAGCGCCGTACACAAGTTTTGACACTTGTAGTGTCCTTGTTCCCAAAATATTCTATAGTCATACGTCGCCATTGTAACATTCTACATAAAAATAATGATCACATTTGGCACATATATATGAAGAGTGTGGTATCATCAAATTGGAGAATTTCAAGCTAACGAAGAAATAAAGGATCACATTACCTTCATCCACTAATCATCTATGAGAGACGGTTCGATATCATATGAGATTTATCGACAACTATTTTATGAGGCAGTAGTAATATTTCAGCCTTCATTGTTCACACGAAGAGCAATGAGAATTATAATGAAATGAGAGAAAGATTCAGCCAGTCATCATACATGTCAAACAGAACCACTGAAGACTTTGTTGCCTTCAAGATCAGATCACCAAATTTTCTATCTTCAAGCATACTTCAAACGGTAGTTGCTGCTCATTTCCTTTAAGAACAATATTGGGGAAATCGAATGAGTGAACATCCAAAGGATCAAGCATCCCTTGTGACAATACATCTAGCGACCGGGTCACCCGATTTGGACAAATTAGGCATTATTGGAAGGCTCTTACAATGCACATCCTAGTTGTACCCTTTGATCATAATCTTAACAAGGTTAACTTTCGATCAAAATCTAGTCGAATCTCGGTAAAAAATTAGGTGTTTATAGGGTCAATAGTCTTCAACGAAGTAATAGATTCGATTCACGTGGAATATGTGCTTGGATTGAGGGAAGTGAAAGGAAATGGGTAGAAATAATAACCTAGGTATATATTCCCTTGTTTGGCCGTCTAAATTAGAGAGGAAGTGGGTGAAAATGATATTAAACAGGGGAGACATACTTCGCTTAAGCAGGCACATTTTTATTTCCTTCCAAAAGTGAAGAAAAAAGATAAAAAAAAATGTAAATGCTGCCCCCCCCCCCCCCCCCCCCCCCCCTTCTTTTTTTCAAGATTTCCCTTAGTTTCTTTTTAAGTGTTAATTAAACAAGAGCTAATCAAGTCTATCCATGAAACTTCCCTACATATCACTTACACTCAACATGCATCTAAACACATGAGCGCTCCTTTTGGTGCTAATTTGCATATTTAATATGTATCGTGAATTTCTTTGTAGATTTTCCAACTTTATCGATTTGGTAGTTCAATGGGTGGTTCAACTGGTTGACTCGCAAATCGGAACCCAAACTAGTTCTTTGACAGGTCCACATTTGGAAAAATTGCTTGACACGATTATAAAACTTCATTATGATACATGAACACAAATTGCCAGCTCTCATAGTGATGGTGTGGAGGCGTAAGTGATATAGTGATGATATAGTGGTTACTTGATGCTGACGTTATCGTCCTGAGGATGGAGCAAGGCCAAACGGTGGTACGAAGCTGGCACGGATCAAAAAATGACTAGTAACATATGAACTAGCTTTAAGTTTGTGGTCTTGACCGTCCTACCACATGTGGCAACGATTCGAGTCGTAGTTTCTAGTGTTCAACTTGGAGGACAATTACTTGTCTGATGGGTGGTTCGTTGAGTAATAAGCACCGAAGGGTGGCGGGCTATGAAGGAAAAAATTTGCACGTGTTGTGTCGTCTCGGCACGTGAGGTTTTCGTCCATGGTGGAGTTGAGTCGTAGTTGGCGTCGACTCAACAACGTGATTCTATTTGACCAAACCAAAAAAAAAACAAAGTGATTCTAGGATTCAAAATCTTTCGTAGTGGATCATGGCGGAGATTGTCTAAGTGGGTGGTGGCGAGTTTCTGTTGAAGGGTTATGTTAGCCAGAGACAAAAAAACTAAAGGCCTTTTGTATATCACCAGAATGCATTATAAATGTGATTGCGATATTTATATAAAACCTAAACTAATATGAAGTAGATACATGATACCATGATTCTAGACATAATCTAACCATATTCAAGGCACACGTGATATCCTGCATGTGTAAAAGATTTGGTAATTTGGGAATGAAGTGCATTACAAATATATCAAACAAGTCGTAACATTGTTTCATAAATTATTGCTTTTAATCCGATAATACTGTTAAAAGGTCATAGTTGAAAGGACATAAAACAGATATTGGGTGTTAATTTGAAGGGAAGTTTTTCGGCTAGTAATTTTGTTAAATATGTGAATGTCTCTTTACTTTAACTTTAGTCTATTTCTCTTTTTCGACATTTTAGAGTTTGAAATCAGGTCTTGATTTAACATCAAACATCTCAAATTTTTAAAACTAGGATATGGAAATTAAAAGATGGGGTTTTAAAATTTGGTTTGTAGAAAGAAAAATTGATTGCAAATACCTTCAGTTGTTGTGCATGTGAAAATGAGAAAACATGGTTTTCGTCTTCTGCGGTATTGCTAGGTACTTGGATTTGATGGTTGAATGGGGGAACAAAGAAGAGTCGGATAAACAATGGCATGCGGTAACGAAATTGTTCAAGAAATTCTTGTACATTTGTCACATTTGAAAGATACGGCAGAAAGCATAAGGCGGTTTACGAGTAGATGTTAATTCTGGAAATGACAAGTTAGATAACAAAAGATTGTTGTCCATCAAATGTGCGACTATTCTTGAGACCAAATGGAAAGTGACTTTCCTCCCAAGAGGATGGCCAGTGAGAATAATCCTATCACCTCAATCTTGACTTTTGCAAAGTTCTCAATGCCAGTCACCTTTACACACAATTTTCCTAGGGTTAATATCACGAAAAATCTCAAATTAATACACATACGATAAATTTATCTCAAACTAATTTTTTGATCACAAAAAACTATAAACTTGTACATATATGACAAATTTACTCCAAACTAATTTTTGATCACCAAAAACCTCAAACTGCTACACTTGTGACAAATTTATCCCAAACTAATTTTTTACCATAAAAAACCCTAAACTGATACACATATGACATATTTACTCTAAACTAATTTTTTTACCACCAAAAACTCCAAACTGATAATCCCATGACAAATTGACCCTCCGTTAGATGACCAATTTAGGATTTTTCGTGGTATTTACCCTATGAATTTCCATGTGAACTTGCCACATCACCATATCACGTTAGCGTGTGTCATCCACGTCAGCAAATTTAATGATAAAATTTGATGAAAGCTAACGAAAGGGTAAATTTTGTCACAGGTGTTTATTTGTCACATATGTACTAATTTAGGATTTTTTTTGTAATAAACAAATTAGTTTTGGGTAAATTTGTCATAGGTGTATAAGTTTGGGGTTTTTTGTGGTCAAAAAATTAGTTTTTGGTAAATTTATCACAGATGTACCAGTTTGAGGTTTTTCGTAGTATTAACCCTTTTCCTTAAGATAAAATGGTTTTTTGACAGTTTGGTTCTTAACTTGAACAAACGTTGCTCAACTTCAAAACACTGCTGAACTTGATTTTGTTTTTGGCTTTTTCCAAGTGCAAGGTGCGCCGAGCTTTGAAATAAAATGAAATGATGGAGAAATTTAACTGTGAGGAGTAAAATTCTTGGAAATTAAAGTCCACAGGAAAAGTGAACTTTGAGGGAATGTAGATGTTATGAAAGTAAATTAAACGAACATACGGTGAAATTGCATCTTTTGGTCTCTGTCGCTTCCTCTCGCATGCCCCGACAGCTCTCTCTCTCTCTTTTCCTTATTTTCTTTTCACATGCTCCTCGACAATCTGCCTCCTTTGTTCTTCTTTCTCTCCCTTTTTTTTTGCCGAGCACTTCCCTTTTTTTCTCTTCTTTTTATTAAAGTCTTCTCTCTTTTGCCGACCATAACCCTCTCTCTATATTTCTCTTTCTTGGCCGTGGAGAAAAAGCTCCGTCCTTTTCATTTTCGAGCTCTCTTTGGCGATGATTATATGCCTAGAATCCTCTGCTTTTTCTATGCCCAGATTTTCTTGTTTTCTTTTGGCTGTGAATTCCGGTCCCTGAATTCTGTTCCCACTCGCGACTCCCAACGCTCTCCACCCCCACGCGCTGGTCTCCAAATTAGGCGGGAAGACGGAAGAGCTCGAACCCTAGAATTCTATTTCATCCTCAATTTCAACTGCAATTTCATCTCTCTCCGGAAATGGGCCTCAATTTCAACTGCAATTTCCATATGATTGTTAATTGAATCGTCCGTTGATTTCGATAGGGACTGACGAAGCTACTGGCGGACAATGCCCCGAAGGCGATGAAGGAGCAAAAGCTGGAGAGCTACTTTGGCCGGAGGATCGCCGTCGATGCCAGCATGAGCATCTATCAGTTCCTCGTTAAGTGCTTTGCTTTTTATGGATCGATTCCTGTGATTGATTGCGCGTTTCAGTGTCGGTTGGGATTTGGATTTTGAGTGGTTGGTGGTTTTTTTCGGTCTTTGATTGGTGGATCAGGTTGTGGTTGGGAGGAAGGGGACTCAGATGCTCACCAATGAGGCTGGTCAAGTCACCAGGTACTGCTACTCGCATCGCAATACCTCGCGGAAATGAAAATCCACTTTGCTCAAGTTTCTGTTTTGATGCTTCAGATGTTATTGGTTGGACTCGGTTTTATGTATGTGATCTTTATGCTTGGGAAGTGTTGACTTTGAGCTGCTTTTTGATTTGTCTTCTTGTGTAGTCATCTGCAAGGCATGCTTTACCGGACGATTAGGCTGTTGGAAGCGGGGATACAGCCAGTGTAAGTCTTTTTCTTTACCTCCTCTGTTTTCATTGGGATAGAATGCTAAGAAGAATGAAGCTCATCTTTCTCTGAATTATGCTTTGCTGTTGTTACGACAGCTACGTATTTGATGGTCAACCTCCTGATTTGAAGAAGCAAGAGCTTGCAAAACGGTACTTTATTATTATGTAGCCTTCTATTCTCTCGTTTTTTCTAAAGTATCTATGAATACGTTTAGTTACCTTTAATGAGTCTTAGCAGTTTTTTGAAGAGGGCCGATGCCTCTGAGGAGTTGGCATTAGCCATTGCGGTACGTGCATCTCTCTCTCTCTCTCTCTCTCTCTCTCTCTCTCTCTCTCTCTTTCTCTCTCTCACGCACAGAGTACAAAAAGGCTTAGTGAACTCTGTATTTATTGCCTGCAGTCTCAGAACAAGCAAGACATAGAGAAATTCGGTAAAAGAACTGTGAAGGTTTGTCTTTGTTTGGATCACTTCCTTACAGTGCGATCTTTTTGTCCTGTTCGATGCGAAGTTTGATTTTGTCTTTGTTTTCCAGAAAAACCTATGTACGTAGCTACCTGGGTGTGTGTGGACTTGTGGTACATGGCTTTGATACCCTTGCAGGTGACACAACAGCACAATGAAGATTGCAAAAGACTACTAAGACTTATGGGTGTCCCACTAGTTGATGTTGCTATTCTGTCTGAAAAGTTTGTCCTTTTTTTTATTTCTAACAAAAAGTTTAGATATCAAATTCAGATTTTGTATGTTAGGCTCCTTCAGAAGCAGAGGCACAATGTGCTGCACTTTGCAAAGCTGGAAAGGCAAGTATCTTCCTGTTTGATCGTCTTCTGATTTAGGATAGTTCATTATTTCCCATGATAACCAATTGTTTAACTCTATGTAAATTACCATCTTGTTTCCATGATATAATTTCCTTGTTCACTGAACTTATGCTTGTTCACTTGTCTAATGTCTTCTTCGGCATGGTCACTTGTTTCCTCGAAAGAAGTTTTTACGGGATCCACTGAACTTATGCTTTTACACTTGTCTAATGTCTTCTTCTGCGTAGTCATTTACATTTGGTACGTTCTTTACTAAATCATCTTCGTCCAAGGAATTTTCGCTGACTTTGAATTCCTATCATTGCTTAATTGTTGTGCGGTAACCAGAATTCATCTATCACAAATGGTGTTTTAGATGTAATTTTTGTTTTTCAGGTTTATGCCGTTGCTTCTGAAGATATGGATTCCCTTACTTTTGGAGCTCCTAGATTTCTTCGCCATTTTATGGATCCCAGCTCAAGAAAAGTTCCAGTCATGGAATTTGAAATTTCCAGGGTACTTAGAAAATTTTTTTTTTTTTTTTTGGTAACGAGGGTACTTAGAAAAGTTTATTCTTTGCGATTGCTTAAATTTTTTTTTTCTCACTTTCATGTCTTTTAGATCTTGGAGGAGATGAATCTGGATATGGATCAATTCATTGACCTTTGCATTCTCTCTGGATGTGACTATTGTGAAAGCATTCAAGGTAGACGTGATATTATTGCAGTGCTCTGTTAACTGTTTTATGCTATCGTATATCATTCTGCCCTCTCATATGTTTTAGATTGATGATTTCAGTGGCTTTACTTTGGAATGAATTTATCAGGTATTGGAGGGCTGACTGCTCTTAAGCTCATCCGTCAACATGGTTCCATAGAAAACATACTAGAGAACATAAACAAGCAAAGGTGCTTCTTATTCTCTTATCTTGTCCCCCGACTTGTAAGCAAAATAAGGCAGCAAAGTTTCTCACTGTAATTGTCTTGGCTGCTGATTCCTTCACTTAAAAGAATTTATCTCTCAAACCCAGCTGGAGCGGAAATATTTGATCAACACTTTGAAACTGAAAGATCATTTGCCACCAATAGATTTGGGCTGGCAATCAGTGCATCAACCATGCTACTTCATGTGTTGATTTACTATAATACTTTTATCTATTATGATGTTTGCTTTGTCTATTCTTTCACTCTCACTTGAACAAAATTCGTTTCTCTATCCTTAAGACCCGGAGGTTCTTTGCATTACTTGGAAGTCTTTATTCAGTTCAGTTATCCTTCTTAAGGAAATGTTTGCTTGTTTTTTGAATAGGTATCAGATACCCGATAATTGGCCCTATGGCGAAGCTCGACTGCTTTTTAAGGAACCAATAGTTTCTACGGAAGAAGAACCTGCGATAAAATTGACTGCTCCAAATGACGAAGTGGGCCATTTTCATGTTGGGATTTACTTGCAACATTTCACTTTCGAATTCTTGACTCATTTCCTAATTGATTGTTCTTTCCCTTTCAAGGGCTTAATGTCCTTTCTAGTGAATGAGAATGGGTTCAACATTGACAGAGTGACAAAGGTATGGATTCTATCTTCAGTAATGTGTTGGTCAGTTGCCTACTCGAGGAAGTTGCTTCTTTTCCTCTGGAGGAGAGAGCATACATGTTTTCAATGTTGTTTTACCATGTGTAGCAGACGATAGAGAAGATTAAGGCAGCTAAGGAAGAGTCATCACAAGGCCGGTAACTAAAGCGTGAATAAATGAAAGTGACTTCCAAAATGCACTTTCTTTCATCCGATGATTCCTCATTTATTTTCTACAGATTAGAATCCTTCTTTAAGCCAGCTAAGAATCTATCTATACCTGCTAAGAGGAAGGTATGTCATCTTGATATATTTGAGTGCTGAGCACCTAGAATTTACCTTCTTTTAATGTATGTGAAGGTGTAATGTCACACATTGCTCTAGCAAAGAGATGTCTTCAGATGCAACTTTTGATGGATGAATAGTACTCCCTTTAACTCACTTCATAAGCCATTGATTGCCCTAGCGATGCACAAATTTTTAGATCTTTGTGATCATTTTTAAACTGTTGGTGGTAGTGTTGTAAATCAACGGTAGTGTGTTGCCATGCCCCTGCTGCTTATGCCCGATTAGTCTCATATAACTTTACAGATGTGCTAATGGTGTTGCATCATCCTATTCATGAAATCAATTAGATAAACAAAAGCACCAGCGTGCTTATACGGATCTGTTAAGAATTCGGCCTGATTAACAACCATAATTGCAATGGATGACAGGAAAGCAAATGCACACTTCAATCCCCCAATCTGGCGTTCAAGCCTAAGACATGCTCTACACAAGTCTCTGTAAATTTCCAGCACAGGTTCCTTGGCAACTTTAAAATGCCAACCATGGTCCTGGGTTTGAGGAACTTCAAACAGCCGTTGAGAGTTGTCTGCCTCCCGACATGGAGCTAAATGATGGTGGATGTAAGAACCCTATTTATTGAGCAAGTCCTGACTTGTAGATGCTGTTTTTGCCCACTGTTGGAAACAAGTTGATGCTTTCCTTTCCTGAAAAACGGGTCATGTCTTATGGTACTGCAATTTTGGAAGAGATTTGTATAAATTTTTATTAGATGGATGAAGTTTGCTCTCTATGCTAGAACGAGATTGGTACTTCTTGTCGGGCAAATTGCATTTTAGTGTTCATTTTACGATACGTATATGTCACTTATACAATGTGTATATTATTGTCATCCATGCAACAGCAAACCCCTGAATATATTGCCAAAGCAGCAACTAACAAGAGTTCCAGGCTGGTGGTGGTAAGAAATAGTTTAGTTGGCACATAACAGATCATGGAACAGCAAAACCATCGACATCTATGTCAGGTACTTGTGAGTTTCCCAATGGCGATTCTTCACAATTCTTGATTTTGATTTCTCTCTTAAATCTCCCCGCTTGGAATTGTGATATATGCGTCGTTATGTTTCTTGCCTTATCCAGGAGGTTTGCTTGCAAATTACGAGTGGAAACTTGTTGTCAGTTTGTAGTCTCATGTAGTCTTTGCTGGATACCATCATATCATGGAAGGTTTATGGGTGCTAAATGCTGATTTAATTTTCATTCATGACTACTTGTTTATCTTGTTGGACTACTATCGTGTGTTTCATGTGTAAGTTTCTCAGTGCGCATACATTTGATGGGTTGACTGATAACTCAGAAGATGGAGATACGAAACTACACCAGCTTGATATCGAATAGTTAGTAGATGACTTCGATTTGTTGCGACTTATGTTACTAACAAATCATATCAAAGCTCCAATTACAAATTTAACTTGTTTATTGTCTCTTACATTGAGTCATATCCAAATTAACAAATTACATAACATAATTAAGGAGGATTATTTCGAAACACCATAAGAACATTATCATGTTAGGAACTGAAAATTGGATGCTAGAAAGAGCCAGCAATCATAAAATAAATTTGCATGGAGAAGCAGAGGAGTTACCAAGAAACCGGAATTAGCTAATGCATGCAAAATTTAAATGGACATATAGTATACTATAGCTTATAATGTATATAAGTAAATCGTAATAAGATCTTTAATCAGATCATATATTTTATTTATTTGTGTAGTATAAATCCTATCATCTGTTGGGTCATTTACCTATGTGTATAGTACATTAAGGTAAATGAAAATTCAACCAGTGATTTGGTCCACCTATATTTGTTGATAGAGTATATGCCACATTGAAAATGGTTAACTCACACGGTAGGTGTAAGAGCCCAGTTACATTGTGCATATTTTGCAAATGATCAAGTCCTAACTGCTTTATCTTTAGGTCACATGTAAATCAAAATCTATATGGAGTTCATTTGCCGTCTCAGTTTCTGCCTGAATTGATCTCTCATCACATTGTATGTCATAATCTTACATTTTTAAGCAGAAGCTAAAGGTAACTGCCAAGAGGAGTAGTGGCCGATCCTCAAACAGCCTAACCAATCTTTGCCTCAACATTCTTCGATACAAACCCTGAACCCATGGGGTCCAACTACTAGAAGCCATTCTTGTTGCCATTTTCTTTGCTAAAGCTGCATCATCCACCAAGTAAGGTACTATATATTTTTGCATGTAAGCGAGAGAGATCTGGAGATGGTTCCTAGAGACATTGATGAATTTGACTTTCCCAGCTTCATCCAAGGTCTTCAATCCAATCCAATCCTTGGTGTAAAGCTCGATCCGCAGGAAATGCATCGATTAGATACATTTCTATTTTTTTTTTCAATCCAATCCATTCCTAGCGGTAAAAGGATGCAAATTGTGGCAGAGTAAGGGTAAAAGCATGTTATGACGAGCTGACACCACAGCGACCACACGATATCACAATATGTTCATTCGCCCATTCTCTTTTGTCCATTTTTCTCATGTAAATGCAATTTTCCTTTGATTATCGACTTGCCAATAGTTAATGCTCAATGATGAAATGAAAATCATAAATCACTACCAAAAGTAATTCCAGACCATGTCATGGATATACACCTCCTACACCTTAAGATTGTAGAGTAAGAGCTTAGTAAAGATAATGCTTTCACAATCCTTAGTATTACTTTCAACATGGTTAATCATTCATATCTAGGGCTTAGAAAATGTTTCAACTTGTTCTCTGTTACATTTCTTGGTTGACTGTGCAAAGTAAAATAAAACAAGTTGATTCCAAGTCAATATCAATGTTACCAGAGATTTTATATATTCTACACCCTTGATTTTTCACATATTTATGTGCGTGCAAGTCCTCGAGCAAATTTTTAATTATGGAATCGGTTTGAGGACAGGAAATAATCTCAAAAGAATGGAACCTTTCAAAACGCATGCTTTCTGAACCACAAGGAGATTCCACCCTCATCCACCATAAATACTTTAACACTGCTTTTCAGCGACCATCAGTATCACCCAAAATTACCATGATTCAATGGCACCGATAAAGACACTGATAACTGCATTTCAAGGTAATGCAGCAATTACCTCCTGGGTAGGCAAAACAGTATCAAAAGTTTCATCTAGATAGTATACGAACTAGGATGTTTCCTTTGGTATCAACACAGTGTCTTGCTCAAACTAGAGGGAAATAAAAAGAGTTAGCATCACAAAGCTGCAAAAGACAAGGAACCAAAATCAACAACATATACAAAACTAACCATAATAAGGACTAGGTTCCGCAAGTTAGCAAATCTTTCCTTGTAGGTTGAGTTTCTGTAATCCATGAGATCAATATTTACTTTTGGGAGAAACCTGTAGCCTTTTAGACAGTTAGCAAGGTCCTGCAGAAATGAAAGGCAATTCACGCATTGCTTAATTGAAATGACATTTACTTTGTGACACAATCGCAAGTGAAATGAGATTTTGCATTGAAAAATAACATCAAACATATGAAACTAAAAACCGGGAATCTATGAAAATATGCATTGCTCCTATGTTATACAAAGAGTATTGTTGGCCACGCCTATTTTGGAATGGTTATAAAATTTTTTGACAGGATAATATAGTAAGATGTACAAAATTAGGAACATCGAGAAGATATAAACAAAAAGTCATCCTGTTTAAATATTTTCTCTATTAACACAGAATCACAGTCATGCATATCTTCACATAACCAGCGGGTGCCAAGTGCTCCTGTGATTGTATGAAGGTTGCCGAACAAAACAAGAAGATGCAGTTAGTGAAGTATAAAAGAAGAGAGAAAATTAGGTTGGCGCAATATTTCAACAGTGGACATGTAAAGAAGCTACTTGTTGAAGGTGCAGAAAAAGTAGCCTGTATAAGACTTTGAGCAACACTACCTTCGGGTATCGTTATAGTAAAAGGGTAATGTGAATCAGGAAATGACTAGTAAGACAAAGCCAAACTTGGACATAGTCAGAGTAGACCCCTATTACCTCAATCAAATAGTTCACAAGAGCGCAGAAGATACCGGACTGTAAAAGAAGGAAAAAAAAAATCAAACTGCAGTGATATAAGCAAACTTTAGCCCCCCCTAAGACCTCAACCAAGAGAACACTAGAGAATGGCGTATCCTAATGCCAAATCAATCTAAAACCACACCAGAAACGCCTGTCATGTACAAAAATATTTGCAAATAAATATAGGAAAGACTTGAAAAAATGATTTTTTTTTGCCCTTGTCATGTACAATTCTACCGGAGAGAACTGCTCTCAAATAGCCAAACAGATTCTCAAAGGCTTTCTGTTCATGAGTCACTATAACCAATTTCGGCGGGCCTCATCAAGTATATGTTCAAATGAAGTCAATCCTCAGCAGCTCTTTATTAACAGAAAAGAAGAAACATGAGAAACAATCCAAATGAGTCTTATTTTGAAAGCGTAACATTATCTATGTAAACATAACCATAGCCTCTACTTTGCCTATAGTAATATTACATATTCAAATGATCGCTAAAGTTCCACAATCTCTGCAAAACGTGTCCCGTCAAAGTAAATTTGAATTCTGAGGAGAACGTGCGTGCAATGCCTTTCTCACTTGGCACTTTTGATAACTCCTACTCCCCTGGAACAAAAAAAGAAATATTGTTAGCACCTGGCACTATCACATGCAAAGTCCCAAAAACAACAAAAGAATCTTCAATTGACACCTCTATGGTAACCAATCAAGGATAAGTTGATCTCGTGTGATGACGATAATGATGATTGTAGATAAAACAGTCGTCTAATTAATTCCCCTCAAAAAGAACAAAACTCGGAGAAGTTATTTGATAAGGATGCATCTTATACGTGATCCTTCTGCACCAAGTAATCTCAAAGGCAGACATGGACTGTATACACGCCTATGGGTACATCTTCGAGTTTCAAGCCCTCAACAAGAATAATTTCTTGCAGCTTTACCGTAGTGTCAATTTCTTGAACCTAGACTTCATATGAGAATGCAACGATGTGAAATACGGGCAAAATCACCAACACTAGTTTAGGTCTAAGATGGCAATTCAGCAATGAAACATGGTCATCCTTAACTTTGATGGGGAAGTTTGTCATACGTCAAATCAATTTCTTACCCAGCTTTCGAGGAAGATAAGATGGGATGGGATCAAATGATCATATGAGGTAACAGACAGGTAATCAATTCATGCATCGAATAGCACAGACTGTGTCATGCAAGATTGCATCTCAATCTCAGACATGTAATAATCTACAAGTTGCAGAAGAAGAAAGAAAACAGATGATCAAGTTGCACTATCTCTCAAGAGGGAGGTTTAGTGAAAATTGAACCTGTGTAGTGCTCAAAAAGCCTGATAGCAACATATGCTTGAGCGTTTTCTTACACAACCATGTCTTTAGAGATCAACCAAATATCATGTGTTCATGTTGATAGTTATTACAGCACCATACTGCGACTCATGTGACGGCAAGGAGAAAATCAAATAAGATGAAAGTATGCATTTGTTGCCATGCCTAAGAAAAATAACATTTGTTTATAGTGAAGCTGCAAGTAAAAATTGGTGGTAATAGAAAAGGTAGCTACCTAACAGAGAAATATATCCTCACATGGTTTCTGGGTAACGATTAGGAAACATCATGAAGTACACTATACATCAGTGAGTCTTGGTAAAAGGTGAAGATAAGATGAAAATGAAGCAAACCACCAAACACACACAAACAAAAAAGAGAAAAAGAAAAGAGAAAAAGAGCTTTCTCACTAAGATTGCATCAGAATAATAAAAAGGGACGAATCCTACCAAGTTTAATTTCCATGTTCTCTACCAACCATTTTGCTCCATCTCTCACGAATTCCACATGGCTCGTGTCGAACTCTTTTTTGTACATAAGCCATCTGAGAACAAAACATAGCACAAATCTAATTTGTCCTTCTAATCATAGTACTCACTAGTACCACAGTACACTAAAATACTCAGATGAGTGCTCCAATAGCACATGCATGGGTGACATGATTTCCAACAATTTGGAAATCCCACATTAGTTCAGCTTACCATGACCCACAAAAGGATGCTTAGGAACCAAAGTTTACCTGGCAGTATGTAGGATTCTGAACAACACCTGTCCCACACCCTTGGGAATATGTAAAGACTCCATTACTTCAGCTGCAGGAAATAGTCCATGTCATTCTTACAGAATTGGTTGGGCATATCAATATGTTTCAATCTCAAAGTTGTCGGATCAAATATTAGTAAGTGCCCAACTATATTCTTGAAAATAAAAAGGAAAAATCCAAGGGCTTGTTCTCACACCAAGACAAGTATTCTACTTGGTCCATTGCAAAATTGACCATATTAGAATCTAGCTAGAAGAACTAGTGTATTGCCAGCAATGGTCACTACTGGGACAACTAAATTGTGCAAGAATTTTACTTCTGGAAGGAATAAATACTCCCAATATTCTCAAATAGCTCATATTTCACCAGAAAACAAAATATAGTATATCCATAGACAATAAAACAATAAAAGTTGGCAAATATGACGTGCCAAGCCCTAACACACAAATGACTAACTAAAATGGACATGGAAAATGCAGCCACTATTATGAAGCACCCAAGTTTCCAGCAAATTGGTCAAGCGATCAAACCTACTAATGATGATAATGACGATGACAACAACAATAATTTGGGAGTCAGCATGTAATTTTGAAAGCAAAGTTAGAACCTAGCATTATTATTGCAAATGAGTGAATTAGAGAAACCACACCACTTTTCTTACACAAAGGTCATCTTATGTACTCTATCTTCTGACATTTTCTTTTTTTTGTATTTTGCTTTTGAACCTTATCCATAATTCTACATGCATAAGAAAAGAGGAATAGATTCAACGGATCGTACATGCCCAAAGTGCAGATATTGCCATTCCACACCGCAAGATTCAACTACCTATGCTCTTCAACGAGCGTGAACACAAACTTCTCTTGAAATGTGGGGTTTTTACCACCCTCTGCACACCAAATCAAATCAAATCAAAACTAAGATGTCCATTCGCACAGTTTTCCCATTTAGCTCAACACCAGAAACTTCACCCAGCAAACCACCGTAACGAAACTTCATATCCAGATTCGAACAGGGAAAGAGGCAATTGCGCAAGCATTTGGTGTGCAATTTTAGAATTACCAGTTGCAAGTTCTGGTGCGAAATTTGATGCTGCCATATTCCAACCAGCAGCCGCCAAGGGGCCCCTAGGGGCGATGGTGGAGGCCGCGGCGACCCGCCGAAGAATGCAGCGGATCTAGGAATCGGAGCCGCCAATGGGAATTCTTTGTATGACGGCGGACGCAGTGGCAGCGTTTGAGGTACTACCCCCGAAACTCTCCATTACAAGAGATTATCCGCTCCTTTAGAGGCCCCAAGTGGTTTAGACCTTGCACTCTTTTTAGGTTACTACAATTTGTTACCTCGAGCTTCCGTAGCTCTTTCAATTTCGATAGGTCTGACATCCTCTCCATGGAAGGGCATTCGAAGACTGATAGGGAGCGAAGGGATCCCAATTCTTCAAGGCCACGAATCTCGACTAATGAAAAGCAAATTCTTAGACTTACCTCGCATAGATTCTTCATGCGCGACAGATCAAGTACTTCTGGAAGGAACTCACAACCAACCATCTTTAATAATCTCAATCTTTTCATTTCCGGTTGCGACGGTGAGTCCAGTTTTCTAAGCTCACAGCGCTCCACATGGAGTTTCTCCGACTCCGCATCAAATATACTCGAGAATTCTAGCGAACATTTATAGAATGTCAAGATTGACAATTTTTTCAAATTGGAAAAATCCGGTGATCGTGTGGTCTCCAGATCTTGAAGTAGTAACTCTCTTAAACTAGACGGGAGCCGGGGGAGGAATTGCACGTGTTTGCAGGACAATGATAGTGTTTTAAGCTGAGATAGGGTACCGATGCTAGTGGGAAGAGTGGTGACGAGTGTTCCCCGTGGAGATAGGGCACCAATTCCAGTGGGAGAGAGGAAGAGGTCTGTCGAGGAGTAACACCGGTAATAAAAAGGGCTCCATGTCAGCCAAGTCAAACTTGGAGGAAGCTCCGGCAATTGTTTCAGCTCGGGACATTTTTCTAGCTTAAATATTTGGAGATTAGAGAGGTGACTCACCGTGGTGGGTAATCCTGATATACGTGTGTTTGACAAGTTTAGGATCCTCAAACGGGACAATCTTCCAATTTCTTTAGGGATTTCGCCGGTCAAGTTGAAACAATCTAGAGCATCCAACTCTTCGAGCTTCTCCACCAGCCCAATCGCACTTGGCAATTTTGTTATCTCTTCTATGCCTATCATCCTTAGTACCTTCAGTTGCTTTAGATTGCCGATTGAATCGGGTAGGTGACGAATTCTCGTCCATGACAAATCCAACTCGACTAATGATTGTAATTTCCCAACCGAATATGGAAGTTCCTTTATGTATGTACACCCAGATAAATTCAACTGCCTCATTTTCACCAGCCCTCCAATTGAGTATGGCAATTTGTTGATCAACCTCCGTGATACATCGAGGGTCAACAGTGACTGCAAATTACCAAACGTCTCCGGAAGTTCACGTAACTTAGTAGGCATGACAATCTCTGTCAAAGCTTGTAGACATCCTATTTCTTTAGGCAACTCTCGAAGAAACTCACATCCCTCCAAGTTCAAAGAAGTTAGGAGCTTTAATTTACCAATGGATGGGTTAATTTCAATTAAGTTCGAACAGCCTTTAAAAACCAATCTCTCCAGGTACACCCACGCAGATAAATCAGGTGTTCTCTTTAAGTGGTAGCAGTACCTGAGATCTAGTACTTTTAGTTTTCTGGCCTCCTGCAAAACAATTGGATCAAATATATATTCAGAAACAACTTGTAGGAAAAAAAATGGCAAAAGAAATGATATGCATATGCAAGGAGTAGGACTCAAATCATACTTTGATTTGGCTCCAGCCAATCCATTCCTCAGAAATATGGCTCCATGAGAGGTCAAGAACGACTAAATTAGTCAGATGAAAGTTTGTTGCCTCAAACTCGGAAGGGCAACTTTGCCAAGAAATCCATCTTAAATTGAAGAGAAGATTATTGAAGTCTCCAACAAATAACACCCTATCCCCCTGAAAGAACCTCAAGTTCCGCAAATTAGCAAATTCATCATGCTTTAGAATAACGTCTTCATTTCCATGATATCCCGTAGACAGTGCTTGTATTTTCCGACTTCCCTGACAATGGAAACACCAAGAAGTCCATATGTGAAGGTCAAAAGCAAACAATTTTAAGCGCCAATAGCAATTAATTTTTCCTTTTGCAAGAATAGTATGTAACAATTCACAGGAAAATAAATTGCTATTCCCTTATTGTACCTCTTTCAGCTTCAGAATGCTCAGGGCTACCATATGATTCCACACTCTGCTACGCTCGCGGGGATCATTGAAATTCTCTTGACGGACAATCTCCCTTCCGAGGTCCCGCACTTGATCATGCATCCAAAAAGTATTGTCGTCTTTGATTTTTATCAAGGACATGAGAGAGAGGACTTCAAGGGAATCGTGTGGGTGATATCCACATTCATCCCACATGTACAAAGGGTATGTTTTGTCCCAACCAACAAAAAAACAAGCTATATCCAGAAATACTTGCTTTTGTGCATGATCTAACCTTTCATAAGATACCATCAATTTTTTTTGGACTCCCATGGGAGGAGCTTCTTCTAGCTTCTTCAATGTGTCTACCCATATTTTTTCGGATTTACCGCTAAGGGATGAACCTGTAATCTCAAGAGCCAATGGAAGCTTTCCCAAAGTAGAGACAATTGCCTTTGAAAGGGAGACATAATGGTCTGGTGGAGAGTCTCTTCTAAAAGCATGCTTACTAAAAAGCTTAAGAGCATGATCAAATTCCATTGCACGTGCTTCGTAAGTCCAAACATTTGCAAACTTTTTTACAGGGCCTTCATCTGTTGCTTCTCCCTCAATCATTAGGACACTTTGGTCCCTAGTAGTTATGATAATTCTACTACCGGAACCAAACCAATTTTCTTTTTCTGCCAAACTTTTGAGTTGCTTTTTCTCATCCAAATCATCAAGAACAATCAGAACTCTTTTATCACGAAGTACCCTCTTAATCATGTTGATCCCATCATCCACGTCGTGAATTTGGTCGAGGATAGAACGAGAATCGAGGAACTTGGATAGTAACTGTTTTTGCAAATGTACTAGACCATGACGTCGTGATGACTCTCCGATGTCGGAAAGGAAATTGCAGCCTCGAAAGTGAGAAGACAGTTGGTTGAAGATGATCTTGGCAAGTGTTGTTTTGCCAATCCCGCCCATTCCGTGGATTCCGAGGAATTGTATGCTATCGGATTCCGCATGCAACATTTTGATTATAGTTTCTACACGATCATCAACTCCAACCAGATGTTCAGTCACATTTTTTTTAAATCCGATGTTCAGCTTAGTCAACACAGTCTCCTTTACAGATTGTATCAAATCTGCTTGGCTGTCACAACATAACAACCACGTTAGGGATAAATTTTATGTTGTAAAACTACTCCTAAGTGACTCAATTGCCCTTACAATTTGCAGAAAGTACGCAAAATAATCTAGACACCAAAAGAATCCAGATTTTTCCCAATGTATCTCCGCTCCCCCAAATTTCAGTCACCACACCATTGACGTCGCTCGCCTCCCTGGGCCGTCACCGTCACGTTCGTGTGCCATTGCCCATCTCGGCCTTGCCTCAATCCTCCACATCACGTGGTTGTGGCATTGCGACTGCTGGGGATGGTGTCATTGGCCTTGGGTGACCGTCGCCCAAGGCCGAGCTCGGTGGTATCAGACCCGACATCCAAATCCCGGATCCGACTCGCCTCAGTGAGTGAGAGAGGGAAAGGGCGAGGACCGGATGGCTCGAAGGAGGCTTCTTGCGGCTTGGTGTTAGGCTGGCGACAAGGAAGTGGCGGTGACTGACAGACAAGCTGCTGTGGTGGCTGGTCGGCAGCTTGGTGGAGCTGCTCGGAGAATTGTTTTATTGATCGTGGCTACTATGTCAAAGACCGAGAGTAAGAGGAGAGAGAGAATCAGGATGAGTAGCGTGCACTACCACCGCAATAGTGCCATTGACAAGAGCTATTGCAGCAATACAACCGATAGCGGCCACTATTGGCCACTGCTGGTGAGAATTCCGTTCTGGCCGCCATAGTGGCCGGTAGCAGTAGCGGCAGTGGCCGCGACCGCTATTTGAACTAAACAGAATCGAATAGACTATAATTTCACCAACAATACCACAATTATACTGAATAGAGAGGAAAACGAAATCTATGTATGACAGTTGAAAAGTTTAGGACATTTACCCTTGATCTTTTTGCCAGTTCCATCCCTTTTTCTTGCCCACCTCAACGAGAGCCTTTTCCCATGACTCTGCTTCAGCACACCCCGTCTTCTTACGCTTTGAAAGTGGTTGTTTGTACAAGTCTGTTTTCAGCTTGACATCAGCAGGTTCCACGTTCAAGAAAATCGGCAGAATCTCTTTGTTTCCATTTGATTTCGAGGTGCACTCGACCATGCATGCAAGCTCTCGGAGGCACCAGTCACTCGAAGCATAATTCTCGGAGAATATGGGAATGTAGATCTTGGAGTTCTCAATTGCTTGTAGAAGTTCACCACCAATTTCCTTACCGACATGAAGGGATTCACTGTCCCTAAAGACGATGATCCCGGCATCAACCATGCCATTGTAAAGATGATCGGTGAATCCATGACGGGTATCTGCTCCTCGAAAACTCAGAAAAACCTCATATGAAGGTCCGGATGATGCCCGTGAATGCGTCCCTTTCTCCATTGTAGGATCTCTAAACACCAAAGATATCAAATCCTTTCTATCTCTCAGGGAAGTTTGCTTTGGGTGTGCTTGGATCTGAGCGAGGGCTATCAATCTAATAAGCTCTCTCGGTCTCTGGCGTCATGGGGTAGGGGAAAACTTTCCAAGAGTCATCCAAGAAGTTTTCGAGAAGTTTCCTAAAAGTTTCCGTGGATCGATCAATGGGTTGTCATCCTAGAAGTTTCCGGGTCCCATTCATTTAATAACAAATTTAAAATTAAAATTATCATATATGTGTCATAATATTAACATCACTTTATGAAGTGCCGGTGTTACCAATAAAAACAGCTAAATAGTATAAGAGACTGAAAACAATCATTCACATTATTATTTAGTTATAAAATAACGTGACAAACTTTGAATGCTTGAGTATGCCTTACCTTTTCAAATAATACTTTATAGTATATAGAGCTAGATCCCAAACAAATATGATGATCTTTTATATGGATCTAAATCCCAAACAAATATGGAAAGATATATGATATTGCAAATTTAAACATAATCATATAAAAGACACCGACAATGTTCCGGATATATGGAGATTTGACAAATTGAGGAACGTATCAACCAAGATTACACAAAATCAACTCAAATATATCTAGTATCCCATTCAAAATAAAACCAACTTGAGTTTAGAAATTAAGCTGTGAAACAGCCTAGATAATCAGATTTAGTAACGGAGTGAATGTAGAGTGCTATGAACAATATGTTTTTGATTTGCAAAAAGGATTGATTTGCAAAATTCTCAATACAAACTATTTTATTAATTATGATCTAAATGTGAGTAGCTTAATATATTTTATTCCAAATTTTAAAATTGTAACTCTTTTATCTTAAATTTTAAATTAAAATTTCAAAAGAATATAATGAGAGGAGGCAATGAATTATCAAATTTAAATTAATCCCGATTGGTTAATTGTCTGGAAAGCACACTAAGTCCCAAATCATCGTTGTTAGCTAATCTACTTCACAGCGGGTAACACGAGAAAGCAAGCAAACCAAAGTCTTCTACTATTGCTTCGTTGCATTTTCCTGTCCTTTTCTTCCTACCAAAGAAGGGGAGAAGGCAAAAGCCTACAAAACCCACTCAACAGAAAGAAAGAGAGAGAGGGGGTAAGTACAGTAGTACATATTTTGTACGGAGGATACTTAAGTGCCATAACCTTTTTTGGCTCACTTGAGTGCCATAACTTTCAAAAAAATGATCACTCAAATGCCACTTACGAGCTGGTTGTGAGGGCCCAAAACCGCGGCTTTTCCGGCTAAACGGTGACCTTCCCGGTGAGGCTAGCACCACCAGCTTGAAGAGGGGGTGTCGGTGAATCATTCCATGGCCTCCGTTCGTCTCGAAATTTCCGTTTTAGCCTTGGTTGACGAGGTAAAAATGCTTCGTAGTCACACATTTATCGAGCCGATTTGTGTGACTACGAAGCATTTTTACCTTTGTCAACGGAGGCTAAAACGGAAATTTCGAGACGAACGGAGACCATGGAATGATTCACCGACACCCCCTCTTCAAGCTGGTGGTGCTCGCCTGCCGGGAAAGGTCACCGTTCGACGGAAAAGCCGCGGTTTCTGACCCTCACGATCGGTCGTAAGTAGCACTTGAGTGATCATTTTTTTGACAGTTCTGGCACTCAAGTAAGCTAAAAAAAAGTTATGGCACTCAAATGTCCTCCGTACAAAAGTTATGACACTTGCGCTTTACTTATCCCGAAAGAGAGATAGAGAGACTTCGGCGAGGAATTAAGGATACATAGAGAAGAGACAAACTAGAGGTAGAGCCGGAACCAACATGACTGACTGACTTGCATGTGAGAGCCATTCATGGATGCAGGATGCAATAATAAAGAACCATAAAGAATGACCCAGAGGGACAGAAAAGGCTGTAGATTGACCCAACACTTTCTCTTTTTCCCACTTTTTCTGGTCTGAAATGAGGTCTCGATATAATCGCAAACATCTCGAATTTTTAAAACTGGGATTACCGAGGTGGGGTGATGGGCTGGCTCTCATCTATTTATATATTCATTTTGGCTTTGTTGCTTTTTGACGAAAACATGACCATGTGCCGAGCAACACGAAGCGAGAACCCCGATATACTTCACATGACAATACGATAATACATTTCTGATTAATTTACTTAGTGACATTACATCGATCCTCCATTTGAAATGAACTTTATGATGCATATTGTTTATCAAAAACTTCATAAATGGGTCTCTCTCTTTCGACCATTACCATGGATAAGAAAAATCTTACATTATTGGGATATAACACTCGAGAAACTAATAGAATAGATATTTAGAAAGCATGAATTGATTCAATTTACCTCCTTGAGATATGACATGTTATCTATATATAAAAAGATAATGATGCGTCGCGGTTTTTGATTAAGTCAGTCGTGTCAATTAATCGAGCAAATTTCAATTCTAAATTCTGTTAAACAAATGATCCTGTTGTTATTTTCATTGTGACATGAGATTTTCGAGTTTTAAGGTCGAGATCCATAATTCAATCGAGGCGGCTATCCATCTATTTGTCTTCTTTATCAACAAATTCTTGAAAATCTGTCATCCAATGATTTCTTGGGAGAAAAACACAGCATTAGACGTGTTCTTTACCCTTTTTATTAGTCTCCCCCCTCCCTCACCCTTAGGCAAACGACATGACAAGGTTGACAATTGAAGCAAACCTAAATAGCATCGACACGCGACACGACACGCCGACACGTCATTTCTTAAAAAATAGAGAAATTCGACACGTTGTATATTAAATGTATATTTTCATAATAAATTATCATTTTTATTATTATTTCAATTAAATTAATTTGATTCAAATCTACAAATAAATAAATTAAAAAAAAAAGAGTGTCGGACAAGTGTCAATGTCTGACAAGTCCGACACGCGTCCGACACGACACGGAGGCCCCCGGAGAGTGTCCGTGCTTCCTAGAAGCAAACGCAAAATAGTTGCACTTATAATGCATATCTATTCATGTGAGTTTTGAGACGTTGATATTTTCATTAAAACAAGTCAAATAATCTTAATAGAACAAGAACCTAAAATCCATATCAATATGTGAATTGAACGTGTAGTTGTGTATATTCAATTTTGCAACATCAAATCCTTTTTTATGGGTCACAATCTCTTCTTTAAATCAAGTCACACCTTTGGTTCTAGATGTTTCCTCATCCCGTTCGTTTAATAACGAATTTAAAATTTGAAGCCTAATAACAAAGCTACAAAATCACGGCACAAAATAAAAAAATTTCAAAGCTTTAATAGAACACCAAGATGGTTTTTGAGCTTCTCTTAATTTTAATCATATTAGAGAAAATTCAGAATCTCCTCTAATTTTGTATCTGTATGTAATACATTTCGCATTTTATGATATTTGAAGCAATGTTTGTCTTTAGACAAAAATTCTTAAAGTAAAAGATTAAACTACCACTCTACTACGATTGATGTGTTGTAATCGGCCAATCCACATGGCCCGTGTACTATGCATGTCATCGTAACTGGCACGTAAAATATTTCAATGCACTTTGTCCATTCATGAAAAACATCAATATAAGAAACCATTAGAGTGTTAACAAATGTATTTCTAGCAAAAAAAAAAGTGTTTACAAACGTAAGTCGAGCAATTGGTTCAAAATTGTCCTAATGGTCAATGTCATAATCTTGCTTAAAACCGTTGGCTACCAAGCAAGCCTAATACTGCTCCATGGAATCATTAGAGTGAGTCTTAACTTAATAAACCCACTCGCTAATTTTCCCAGGTGGAAGATCAATCAAATCATACGTACGAGTCCTTTCTAAAGCTTGCATCTCCTCAAGCATTAGCTTCTGCCAATGAGTGTTGGATTGAGCCTCTCAATAGGATCGAGGCTCATGAAGAGTGGCAAAATAACAATGATAATCAAGAAGACGTATTGAAGGTAGTCCTATTTGCATATAAGGTCCATATTTAAGAAGTAGTAAGATCCATGTACGAGCAGATTCTGTAGGGAGAGCAAATCTGGGGAATTTAAAGAATTTAAGTGTGCATCAAGAATAGACAAACTAGAGGTAGAGAAGCAACCAAACGACTGACTTGCATGTGAGAGCCATTTGCAGCCACATGGATGCAGAATGCAGTGTTAAAGAACCATAAAGAATTTACCCAGAGGGACAGAAATGGCAATAGATTGACCAGATCTAGTCAACACTTTTCTCTTTTTCCAACTTTTTCTGGTCCGAAATGAGGTCTCGATTTATTGGCGGGCCTCTCATCTATTTATTTATTTATTTTAAATTCGCTGCTTTTTGACAAAAACATGACCAGGTGCCAAGTAACACGAAGCAAGAATCCCGAAATTACTTCACATGACAATACGGTAATACATTTTTTACTAAGTAATTAGTGACATTACATCGATCCTCCATTTGAAATTAACTTTACGATGCTGCTTGTTCATCAAAAACTTCATAAATGAGCCTCTCTCTTTGGAACATCACCATGGCTAAGAAAACTTGTTACACTAATGGGATATAACAAGCGAGACATTACATGAATAGATATTTAGAAAACATGAATTGATTCAATTTACCTCCTTAAGATATGACATGTTATCTATATATAAAAAGATAATGATGCATCACGGTTTTTGATAAAAGTAAGTCCTGTCAATTAATCAAGCAAATTTCAATTCTAAATTCTGTTAAATAGATGACCATGTCGTTATTTTCATTGTGATTTGAGGAGCTTCTTGAGTCTTAAGGTCGAGATCCATGATTTAATCAAGGCAGCCATCCCTCGATTTGTCTTCTTTATCAACAAATTCTCGAAATTATGTCATCAAATTAATTCTTGGGAGAAAAATACAGCGATAGACGTGTTCTTTACACTTTTTCTTAGTCCCTCCCCTCCCCTCCCTCGCCCTCAGGTAGACAACATGATAAGGTTGACAGTTGAAGCAAATGCTAAATAGTTGCTCTTATAATACATATCTATTCGTGCTAGTTTTGAAACATCGTTATTTTCATTAAGACAAGTCAAATAATCTGAATAGAACAAGAATCTATAATTCATATCACTATGTGAATTGAACGCGTAGTTCGT